ACGTCGAGGGGCTTCGTTGGCAGAACGTTTTGTAGGTAGACTGCTGTGGTCAGCGCTTCTGCCCAGTAGCGTTGCTCCAACTGTGCATCGAAAAGCATGCACCGTACCATTTCGATGAGCGAGCGGTTTTTCCGCTCCGCGACACCGTTTTGCTGGGGGCTATAACCGGCGGTGTACTGAGCCGATATTCCCTCTCGCTTGTAGAACGCACGTAGCCGCTTGCTGCTATACTCGCCGCCCTGATCAGAGCGGATAACCTTCGGCTTTTGGCCAAAAAGTGTCTTGGCGTAGGCGACGTACTCCTCGATTTTTGTGGCGACCTCGGACTTCTCTTTCAGTAGGTAGAGGATGCAAAATCGGCTGCGGTCGTCGATCACGGTCATGAAGTACCTGTAACCGCCGACCGATGGCACCTCAACCGGGCCGCAGACGTCCGTGTGCACCAGGTCCATTGGTGCTTTCGATCTGGAATTAGACTCACTCGGAAAAGGGGTGCGTGGCGTCTTGCCTTGCAAACAGCATTCACACTTTTCGTCGATGCTGCACCGGCGGAGCGTCAGACCGTCCACTAGTTCGTCCTTCACCAAATGGTCGATTGCTTTCGGATCCCGGTGGCCGAACCGGCGATGCCAAACGTGCTGGCAGTCTTTGTTATGACCGCTTGCCACCATCACGACGTCTTCCGGTTGCTTAATTTAGTAGAGCCCCTGCTTCAAACGCGCCACAGCGATGGTGGCGTCTCCACGAAGAATCCGACAACCGGTCGCGTCGAAGACGACTGTAGCTTGCTTTTGAACGAGAGCCGGGACGGAAAGCAGGTTCATCGAGAGGGTGGGGGCGTAGAGCGCAAAGCTGATGTCCATTTCACGACGATGCCCATGCTCGTCGGCGCACTCGACGACGCAGCAGCCTTTACCTCGCACCTCCGCTTGTTTACCGTCCGCCAGGTTGACAAACTTTACTTCACTTTCGTGCAATTCCCGGAAAAACTTCCGATCCGCTACGGTGTGCCGTGTCGCACCAGAATCGACGACCCACGGTTTGACAGCTTCATCGGATGGTGAAGCTCCTCCTGCAGCAAGCGCGAACGAAACTGTCTCCTTCTTGCTGGTGGTTCTTCCTTGCTGAGTTTCCTTTTCCGAATCACGAGCGAACTTGCGGCACTCCTTTTGTTTGTGCCCCAGCTTTCGGCAATAGTGGCATTCAATTGGCTTCTTCTTCTTCTTGCTGTCATGCCCGACCCGCAGCGCCGAGCTCAATCCAGCACCTTGTCGCTTTGCTGCCTCGTCCAGGAGCTTCCTTTTTACTAGCTCCAGCGTGAGGTCGTCATCCGACCGGCTTTCGAGGGCGGTTGTGAGGGTGTCGTACGAGGAGGGGAGACTTCTCAAAATCATCGCGACAGTGAGATTCTCCGCGAGCTCCTGTCCGGCGTTTGCCAAACGCGAAAACAAATCCTCCATCTTGAATAGATGCTCCGCCATGTCGTCGCCGTCGGTAAAGCGCTTGTCGCAAATTCGCTTTAGCAGCGACACTTTTGACGTCAGGCTCGTCTTTTGGTGGTGGTTTTGCAGCGCCGTCCAGGCGTCTTTGGCCGTTCGTGACGCGCGGATCAGCCCGTGCTGGTTGTCTTCAATTAGTAGGCCGATCGTAGCCCTCGCTCTGGCGTCGCCCGCGTTCCACGTCGCGTCGGCTTCCCCTTCAGGCTTCACACCCGGATCCACGTAGCGCCAGAGCTCCTCTCGAACGAGCAGCAGCTCCACTTTGAAGCGCCACGTCGGGTAGTTGGTATTCCCCAACTTTTGCACGGAGAATCGATTTCCTTCCATCGCACACGCGAAAAATCGACCGAAAACACGCGAAAACTTCGATTTCAGGACGAATATACCGCGAACTAGCGAAAACTTTTCGTTTTTACAAATGGCGTCACCACTCTTCCGCCGTGTTGCCCATAACCTGATGCAGAGTAGCTGGCTCGGACAGTGGAGAAAAGAAACGCGTGCGGTTCACAAGGGTGACAACTATGGAATGATCTTTATTCAGTTTTAGATTCGTAGCAGAGTGGTAGCAAAGTAGTGTGCGTGTCAGTGTGTGCGTTACATCGAGTGTGGATAACTGGGATAAATGAGATAAAATAAAATGTTGCACTCAAAGAAATTGTGTGGTTTAAATTGACAACGGTGCCACACGGTTGTGTAGCCCGTCAGAATCTTTATAATAATGTGCAAAACTTAGGAGTCTTAAGGGCCACCCACATTAGATCCGTTGGATGGATTAATCCAACTAACAATAGACTGCTGTGATGTCAGCCGAGCAGAGCGGTCGCAGGTTCTCGCCTGTGATAATTTGATAGAATTAGTTTTTTGGTTGTGATATTGTAAACCGGTGATCGCTGATGTGTTGATTTCATGAAAGACGAAACTATCAAAGTCAAGCGCTCGTTCAATCGTCCGCTACAGCGAAGCTTGAAAGAAAGACGAATGAAGCGACAACGGGAGAAAGGTTCAACAGAAAAAAAAGCTACCAGTCTCTTCATCACATCGATTTTGTCGATTGAAGCTGATATTTTGACGCCCTGATCATGAGTTGGTTTGGTGAATGCGTTCCAGTTGAGGGATGTTCTTATGATTATTTTTTCCATTGCTGTTGATTCAGGTTTACCATGCTTGGTGTGTTGCTCGGTTTGCGATTGTGTGCGAGCGTTTCGATGTTTGTGTTTAAGGAGGTAGTACACTCTGGCGACCCGAAAAATAGTCTTTCCTTAGGATTTTTTTAGGGCTAAATAAACATCTGTTAAAAAACGAAATGAGTAGGTTTATTTATTCATGAATGTAGTTTGACGGTGATTTTATTCGTTCCTCTCGTGACCGCTGCACCAGGTGCCGCCAGGCACTGCCCACCGAATTTTTCTTAGCGGCGTGGGTTCCACTGCTCGCCCATGTGAACATAGAACAAACCATTTTTTCTCTTATTTTTAGATACATTTTCAATCTGCGTACGTAGAATTTTTTTTCGATATATCATGTTTCGAGAAAAACGCGTTTGAAGTTTTGAGACGTCGGAGCGCGGGCCAGGACTTCGGATCAGTCCAGAACTTGCGTTTTTGCCTATTACTTTCGAACGGAATGTCGGACGGACTTCGGATAAAGATTCCCATAAATTAGACATCCCAAAAAAATTTTAAGCCCAAAAAATCGATTTTTTTTTTAAAGTTACGAAGTGTACTACCCCCTTAAGCATGATTCGTTTTGGGGGAGAGGATGATCACCATCGTGAATGTAGGCTTACTACTTTACGGATCGAAAATTTGGACATAGTTGTCGCCGGTACGTAGACAATCGCGAGAAAGTTAATATGGTTGCATCGTTTACCTACCAGGCATAATAAGATCACAGATATTCGAGTTCTGATCCAACGAACCTAAACTACTAACGAAATCTCCCTCCTGTGACCTTCGTGGAGACGCAGAGGTAAACACGGTCCCCAAAACAGCAAAGGTTATTCTAATATTCTTTCCTTAGTCTCACCTTATTGTAATGACGTGGCCAGCGCCGTTATTAATCTTTAAATATGAGGTAATTGAAACTTGTACATTGAGAATGCATGGTCACTCCCAACCCCATTAAGTTGATCCAATGTGCAATTTCACTGATCCTGATCAATCACGGAGTAACAACCATTGATATGTGCAGTCAGTCTAAGCTAAGCTGAACAATATTTGTTCTACGGATGCTTTTGTTTTTAAGTCATGAAAATTGGTACTACGCGTACCAATAAAATAGACCCCCATTAGTGGTATTTAGCCTATTGTCCTATCCTTACATCTCCGCGGTCCTAGTAACCATAGGAAAGATCGGTTAATCAAATGGAGAATTTATGTAGAAAATGTTTGAAACATAAGGGGTGCTCATATCACCCAAAATCAACCCTTGCAAAACAAATTTTACTATGTTACTTATATTTTTAAAAAAACTTGGCAAATCATTTTGTTAAGTTAAAAACCAATTACCATTTATCTAGCTGTTGATGGAATATTACCGAATAGTAAACATCAATGCAGAGTTCTTACAATATTTTTGAGATTTTTAATTAGTCCATTAAAACACTTTTTTTTTAATATTCGCGGTAGAAAAAAGTTAATCTTTAGACAATTAATTAATTAATTAGTTTCAGTAAGCATCAAGCATTATGTCTGCAAAAGATTCTTGAGAAATAAATATATACCTTTATGGAGAAGCTGCCCTATACTGCAGTGATGAAACAGTTTGCAAAAACTTACTATGACAGGCGAACTTCGTGTAATTTCACAAACTATTCCAACCCCTATGTATGATATGTGAATTCTATCGGTAAAATGCTCTTTTCGTAACAAAATTTCTTCTATATTTACTGCTCTATTTATCATCCGGAAAACACAATCGGAATTCAGAATGTTGATGGGGAAAAACATTAGGAAAAAGTCGTAAGTAAAAAAATACTGAATTTGTGTTATTGATCAGCTGTGGCTATAAAGGAAACAAAAATATTGAGTTTGATGGTGTGGTGCAAAGCTTTTAAGCGATTTTGGTGCACCGTATATTGGTAATATAAATGCAAAGTTTTCACCGGTGTCAAGTGATTACAAGGACATAAAAGTGTTTTAGTTGTTAGTCTGTGTCATTGTGAAATACCAAAACACAAACATTACGTCTCACCTTACAAGTAGAAGTGTTTAAACTACCGTACAAGAATGCTAAAGAAAGCTGATCGGTTGACCACTACTTTTGTTCTAGATTAAACATTCTGATAGTAATTATGGTAGTGCTCTTCATCCTTGATGAAAGTATAACACAATAAAAAAAGAAAAAAATAAACCATGAAATATAAATAGATCCTATGCCAAAATTATCGTTTAATTCTTTCATCATTCAAAATGAAAGCGGAGCCCATCACTCTCTGTGAACTAAACGATTAATTTCTGGATGTGTAGCATGAAAGGAAGTGTACAGTGATGTGTAACTTACCAGTGCCTTACTGTTGATGAGATTCCGTACGGCAAATGCCTTCCCGGACAGTCTTTGCTCTGCTAGCCTGGCGTTTAGGTTTTCCAAAAAACCTGCGCTAGTTTTGGCGAGGACGTTGTTGGTGTTTGCATTACTGGCACTATTGCTACGATCTGAAAAGATTTGAACATTGGACGATCAGTATCAGGGTATAGTTATTGACTCGAAGATCATGCCACTCAATTATTGACCCATGTGTAACCAAACCGAGCTAAACCGATGGTATTGTTCCATCTGATTCAACATGGGTTGCATCAGATCACAAAACAAAATTATTGCATGTTATTTCTAAGAATACGGGTTCAATTATATCCAGTAGAATCTGTTCCCTATAGTGAATTGGCGATTAACTTATAGCTGGTTCTGAAGCAATACTTTTTGTTTTTATTCATATGAAAGTTATATTTTGAAAATATTCAAAGGGAATAATTATACTGAAAATATTTGAAATGGTTGAATGGGCATTGAGACCAAGCGTAATTTTTGGAGTCTGGTACATTCAGTATAAAGACGTTTGGCATAACGGAAACTTAGCAGGTTAGAAAAGTTAATTTACAACCAAAGATTACTCCTATTCATTGACTCGTAAACATATTTCGTGCTTCGAATATTTAATAAAGAATCAAGTATTCCCTTTTTTGATAAGGAAGATAATGTTCTTTTCTTAGAATATTTTTAACAAAGAAGGAAACTCCCTTCTTTGAATATTCATGCATTGTGCGATTCCTGAAATACCATAGAAGTACAGTTTGGTTTTTGAGAAAGAACAAGCAGCAATTAAATGAAGGATTTTTTTTTTACTTTATTTTTGAGATTTTTAGCCGTAGGCTAGTTCATCTCGTGAATGAAAATGAAGGAATAGTCATGCTCTTACTAAATGAAGGAATAGTCATACTCTTGGTTTTAAAAATATGTCGAATCACAGCGAGATTATACCAATGTTCGTTATGCCAAGCGCCTATTATACCAAACGCACCAGACCCTAATATTTGGTCGGCGAGTATCACTATATTTTTGCAAACCAAACATAATTCTAGATAAAGCACAGCAGATTACAAGCTAAAATATTAGAATTAAGTAATTCAGGCCGAAGTTATGCGCATGAAAGCAAATTTGATACTTTTTAATGAGAAAAACTCACATCCTGAAAATGTTCACAAACTAGGTTTGTATGCCTTAGAATCATCCCAACGTGTGTTATAACCAAAATCGGGCGACTAATTTATACTGGGCACGTTGCAAAAATGTCGAACGGCATACCGATGAAAATGGTACACAAAATTATTAGACAAAGATGAGCGCACCTGGTCGTTGGTGGCTAAGGACAACAAGGCCCTGAATAGCAAGGTAAGTATGTTTGTATGTCTGTTAACCACGCCAGCTTTTGGCCCTAGTAATCCTATCTTATATTTCTAATTTTTCATACTTTACATTTTTTTTTCGATACACGATTAGAATATATATTTTGCCATATACCGTGCAGGCACCATACTTTGCGCAATTACTTATGCTTGCGCACTCATATCATTTTCGGTAGAATCTCGATTTTAACAAGATATTTTCAAAACGTTGGATAAACTCTCTTCCTTTGAACACAAGAGCGCAGTTGAAACGTTTTAAAAATATGGTTGCTAGCATGGTACCAGGCAAATAAAACCATGAATAAAATTTCAAATTTGATTTAGGCCCTAGGGCTAAAACTGGAGATGTAGCGCCATAACTGACACGCCTACCCTAGTCAAGCTTATATTATCCGATTGAGTTTACATTTGCAGAACTGTAATCTATAAAACTGCTGAACGAAACGGTGTGTATCATAATCCAACTTTGAGCGATTATGATGTTCACAAAAAGGTTTACATGAAAGTATGCACTTATATGCAAAAATAACTTTTATACAAAATGTCAGTTTTTTTTTAGCATACCTGCACTCAAAATAATCAACACGTTACATTTAGGACATGTGCCCCGAGCCGGCACCATACTTTGGACAGTTCCTAATGATTGCATTTTTGATCGTATCTCGATATTTTATAAGCTTGTTAAACTATCTCGGGAAGCGGTAACATTTCAAAAATATTGTTGAAAGATATTCGAAAATGATTTAGTACGCAGATTTAGGAACCGCGTAAATTACGGTGTCGGCACGGTCTGCTCAGCTTCCAATTTAATGTCAGTATGTATGTAAGTATGTTTATTTTAATCAGCACACCACACTGTAAATATTACTACCTGTATAATGTACAGAAGGAAAGACAAGCAAACAAATATTAGCCATTTACAAAACGAAGCAGCAAGATCTCTAACAATCAATAGTGGAACTAGAATTACTTGAACGATTGTAGGCACCACCATGGCCGGAATTGTCGGGCGTATTACTACTTCCACCACCACTTCCATTACCGCTGTTACTACCATCTCGGGGGGCTTTGCCAAACGACGAAGGCGAATAACTAGACACACCATGGACCGGACTCGCAGTTGCAAAAGGATTAGTGGAAACGTAAATGTTTTGGGTTGCATAATTTTGCTGGGGCTGCGATTGATAGTAGTATTGCGAGGTTGCTTGTTGCTGTTGCTGCTGCTGCTGCTGCTGTTGCTGGTACAGCTGTTGTTGATAGTGATGTGGCTGCTGGTTTTGGGAATTAGCAGATGAATAAACTTGATTTTTACCGTCTCTTTGACTGACTGCTTGCTGCTGCTGTTGCTGATAATAGTGTGACTGTTGCTGTTGCTGGTGAGTGGATGCTTGCTGGGAAGATGAATAGATTCCATGATGAATTGATGATTGCTGCTGTTGTTGATTGCTAGTGCTATATGATGACCGTTGATCCGCCGGGCTACTTCTATGATAAGTCGATTCACTTGATGGGGCTGTTGTATACGTGAAGGATTGTTGCTGCTGATAGTGCTGTGGAGATGCTGGTGGCTGGGGTTTGTTTGGTGCAATTCTAGCGTTCAATTGCGCCAGAAATCCAGTGCTCTGCTTTTGCGGCCCTAATTGAACAGTAGTAATAAAAGCGTTAATTTAACGAAGGTTTCATCATAAATATTTGCATTTATCATACCTGGAGTTGCAGTTCGGAAGCTCGACATACTTGTTATTTGTTTCGGTTGTGCGTAAATCCCTTGTTGATGCGGCGATGATTTCGAATTTCGGTTGGATGACTGATTGATTGGAAGTAAAGAAATTAGACAATAGTGGATTATGGTCAGTGAATATTAACCAAACATTAAAAAATGTAAATCGATTGCTGAGCGTTTTATAATTGAATAATTGTGTACCTTTTTCCTCGAGTTTTACTTTTAATTCTACTACTTTTGTATCACTTTCACTTTCACTATCACTTTGAACTATAACAGATGCGTATTTCGTTTACTACTTGCTGACTAGACACTGAAAAAGTTTGCAAGTAGTAAACGAAAATACGTAACTGTTATAGTACAATTAGTGAAAGTGAATTAATGAAAGTGATACAAAAGTAGTAGAATTAAAAGGAAAACTCGACGATCAAAGGTATATTAAAAAATGTCTCTTGACATGCATACCATACTAGGATTATCACTGCTGGAGGGAAAATAATTTGGCGGAGATTGTGATGGGTAATGCATAGAAGTAGTGCTAGTGTGATCGTGTGTTGGCGTGCTGTTGTATGCATTTGTAGAGTACTGTTGTGTTTTGGTAGTGTGGTTGGTAGCGATCAGTCATTTCAGGTGTAGAAGAACATGAAATGTTAATAAAAACATAAATTTTATAATATATGTTCATGCGCAGATGTGAGAAAATTGCGTGTAGGATAGGGTTGTAATGTTTATGGCTTGCAATTACCGAAGGAGACGGCTGTTGGGTTGGCAGGTTCTGTTGAGCGCGTCGAAGAACACTGGGACTTGCCGGTTTGTGCCTGATTTCGTTCAGTGCTTTAACCGTACCCGCTACGTTTCCTGGAACTACAAGCACAAGAAGTTTGTCAAATATCTATAGAACTAAAAAAATACGTGCTCCTTACTAAGTGAATTTCCAGTTGTGCTGTCAAGAAGATATGCAGGAGGAGGTGGTAAGCTTTCCGATGACGTATATGCGAGACTTTGCTGTGCCAGATTTGGTGAAGCCTATTGAATAGCAAAAACGTGGAATTGTGTGTGTGCTTTGAATAGATATCGTGAAAACTAATTAACTTACTGCTCCAAGGTTAGGACTGGGTGTTACACTAGAACTTCTTCTCACCGGCGGTGGTGGTTTCACGGTATTTACAGACGACCGTCTGGCAACACGGTTGGGTCCTGGTAGGAACGAAGAAACATTAAACTTTCGTTTTCTTAAGGGTATGAAGAATATGGAATTTGTATGATATGTATGAACACGGTTATTCAAATTCTTGTAGCAGTATCATATCCCAACATACATTCAAGTTCGAGCTTTTAGAACATTCATGGCCATACATTCCAATCGATATTAACTATTAATACTACCAAAGAGTTAATCTTTAAAAGGTTTGTTCAATCGTGGCTTTAATAGTCGGTATCGCTTGGACCACACGTCTATTGATGACATTGATTTAGCATTTTATTTTAATCTAGAACAAAACCAATTTGTTGGCGTCAGCGCTATTGAAAAGCGATTTTTTATAGCCATGTGTTAAATTTTGCCAATGAGAAAAATGTTTGAAAAAGAGGCTTTGTTAGGCATGTGGATCGAGCAAAACAACCGTAAACATTTCTTTGAATGTGGATAAACTAAACTAAACTATGATACACATCACTCATGTTGTACTAAGTCATATGGATTGTATGTAGGAATGGGGTTGAGATGGCTACCGAACCAAAAAGATAGGAAAAACTAAAATATATGATTAATACTAAAATAATAAGAACAAAAACACAAACCAGATAACGATGCAGGTCGTGGCGTGATTGCTGGCTTAATTCTATTAATGCGCTCATCAGAAGGCATTGAGATCAACGAGCATTTCTCATTACCATTGGTGGAGTGCTGCTGCTGATGCTGCTGGGTATGGTGATGGATGTTTATCACATGATTGCTGTTGTTGTTATTGTTATAGATGCTGATAGCAATATTATGCTGCGGTGACGCCATCGTGGGAGTTGTAGCACTTGATGGTGGCACCGACAGCGACGGCGTTGGTGATCGCGACACTGCAAACGAAGATAGTGCTGGCGACGCAGATCTGGAATTTAACTTGAACGAACTCAGCCGCTGCTGGCTATCTACACTTGCGGTATCATCCATTCGGTTCGAGTCGGGTTTGGCAACATCCTTGCATCTCAAGACAACTACTTCGCTCATATTTTGGCTGTAATAATTCTCAGGATCAATTCTTCCAAACTCGTTCTGCCGCATTACCACGATTTCTGAATCGTTCAAGTGCATAAAAGAAGGATTTTCAAATCCTGTATTCGAGTAGTCCACAGAGTCGCAACCCTGCTGTTCCGTATTGAGCTTATTCATATCACTATCACTGTAGTTGAATGGAAACTCACTACCTAGGTTGGTGCTATTTAGTGACATATTAATCGCTTCGATATTCATCGAGCTGGAGATGGAAATTTTGTCGTTTCGATCACTACCAGCCGAGTCACTGTTATTTGATGACAGATTTCCATTGTTGTTGGAATGATTGATACCATTCTCATGTGGGGGCATGGACGGCGGTTGCTGGAAGTGTTCTTCCAGCCGTAGCTCGTGCTCTTTTTGGAATAGGTCTAGTTCACCAATTAGATTATTTAGCTCCTCTATTGTCTCTTTGTCGATCCGATCTAAGGCGGGTCAGCAGCGAATAGCAAGTTATTTGGCAGCAGCGGTGGCATTCGCACATCGATTCATTAGAATATGATTGGCAGCAGTGCATAATGAGCGGGATCACATAAATACAGGCGAGTACATAAAACATAACAAAATGAAAGGATAAACAATGCAAACAAATGGTGTATATAGAAACGCAAGGGTAAATACTTAATCTACAAATATCTAGGTATAACGAACAAACGCAATAGGGTTAGGCACCACCTTCTTTCTGTAGATTTTGTTTAGGTACCCCGTACAGATATCTTTAAAACTGACTGGTAGACACAGGTGTACAGGTGCTTAACCCAATTGCTCCAACTTGATGAAAATAAATACATGTGCATGCAATGGTTGGTTGGCCCGAGGCTGGTGCATGCAATGATCTTAATGTGCCGATCGATTGGGATGATACGAAACTCAGCATATGTAGGTAAACAAGTTGTAGGAGGAAAGGTCCAGAGACAAACGGTCGAAAGGACAAGTTAGAAAATTGGAGGACCAAAAGGTCGAATCTTTTTTATATAGCAATATAATGAGTAAAGCAATTGAATCATACTAATCTAACTGAATTGCTTAAAGTAATTTCTCATGCTTGGAGTAGACTCCTTTAAAACATGAGCAGTTCTTTGACAATCTAAAGCTATTATCTCTCTTGGGAGTTAACTCCTTCTTTATATCCTACCTCCTACCACTTGACTCCTTCTTAATATCATGAGCACTACTTTGACGTGTAAAAATCATCAACTTTTGTCAAGCCTTCTTCATAATACGAGCAGTTTGTTAGTGATCTTTAATCTTTTGATTTTGACCCTTTAAAATACTCGTACTGCTTATGGGTAACATATTATGCCGCATATTTACGATGCAATTCGTCAGCTGCAAGTATTTAAATTCACCGTTCGAACTCCATACTACCGCACTATATACCGTTCATATTGGTGACAACGCTCTGATGAGACAGCGAAACGGCACCTCCAAGCTCATTCCTTGATCCTATCCATCAATAATTTATCCCTCTAACCTCGGGTAAGCTTCGAGTATTCGGCCCAATTACGACTAGTCATAGAATTAAGTGAATGTAGCTCAAGTACATAGTTTAATGTATTTAATGTGAGTGTAGCTCAAGTACATACAGTGGTGGCCGTTAAATTAGCACAATAGGTCGAGTTTCATACAAACTAGCCAACTTGGGCATGTTGCAGCTATGATCAATTGAGCTGAAATTTTGACACAGAAGGCATTTAAAATGAGTGAATTAGACGGTAAAATGCGTGCTCAAACTAATTTTTCAGCCATTTAAAAAAAATGAACGGTTAATGGAGGTCGAGCGGTAAAGGGGCACCACACGGTAATTATGTCTAATATCGCGCACTTGAAGAGTGACTCTTAGAATCATCCCTATATTAAACAGAATTTATAGAACCTCTGTTTCTAACGTTGTCCAGAGCCTTTGCTCAATTGATTTAGACTGTAAAACATACGTTTTATTATTTATAAAAAGTACGGCGGTGCTCTGGTTTTTATTCTATTAATATTTTGTGTTGTACCAGTGTGTAACCAGTTGTCAAATTTGTTATGCATTAGTAAAGATGACTCGATATGCTAACGTTTGCGATAATTTGTTAGAAGTTGTCAAGTTAATTGCCAAACCCACGGTATTAGGTGCCGCGTGGAATTAGGACAGGGTACAACACATATTGTCCCGAATAACAACTAAATATATTGTTGAATTAAACGCATATATCTTGTGTATTCGAAAGGAATGCATTATGCGCCGGCAAATTATACATTTATTTTGTTTAAGTGGAACTACAGTGTTTATTGTGTTCAAAATTATTTTTTCTGCGTGTTAAAGGTATTTTTGAATGTTTTCAAAGCATAAGGACAAGAAACTAGAACCTGTGCTTGAGTGAAGGTAGAAGCAACGAATAGAAAAATGAGCAAATACACAAACCTTTATTCTTAGGATGTAATATTTGCTATCAAATTCGTTCGAAGCATTTACCTTTGAGCGGCAGATGACGCGATTGTACCTGTCTCATAGCGTTCGTATGAGGAAATAGAAGAGTTGCCAGTCTTCTTGATTTGTTGTCTTCGCTAGAACTTAAGCGAGGAGATAAGGAGGAAAAGAGTGTAAGCGATAACCATAGGGTTGACTGAATTTCCATTTTAAAATTCCAGATTTTTCCCGGTTTTCATGGTTTCATTTGAAAATTTCCCGGTTTTCTAAAACATGTTCTCAGCCAACAATTGTAAATATATGTTATAAGAATATTTAAATGCTTCTATCAATTTGATTGAAAATTTGTTTAAATGTTCCGAAAATTTGAAGGAATTAGAAATTTAAACCGTTTTGATGATGATGATGGTTTGAATTTACCTAACAAAAAAATTAAACAAACTAATTTTAATCCCAGCATGATTTGCTTTTAAAATCAGATAAATTCAACTCTGGCCAATAACTTTTCCAAACCGCGCCTCGTTGAATTTTGATGATCCTGCATAAACATTTTCATTGCTGAATTCTTAAAAATTTCCCAAACCAATTTTGAAATTTTAAAATTTATATAAATTGGAGTCATAATGCCCATAAGCGTTTTAAATAGAATGTGGATGCGAATTTCACCCTTACTTTAAATTATTACTTTTAGTGTTTCTATGAAAATCGTGCAAACAATTGCAAAACTTTGTGTTGTGTAGAAGAAGTATTTTACCTCATTTTGAGTGAATAAGAGTGAATTCAATTATGGGCAAAATGATTGACTCGCACGAGCTGTAAAATATCCTTGCTTCGATGCTAAAAGATGGCTGAACGAGTGTTAACTCTACCAGGCACATTACTTTACAAAGACTCGGAACTGACAGCAGTAAAACGAAAAAGGCGAGAAACTGAAGGAATATGAAAAACATTCTCACTAAGTGCAAAATCGAAAATGATCAATTGAAGACTGAACTATATATATATAAAATAAGTGAGTGAATCGTCATTGGTTTAGATTCCACCCATTTGTATATATTTTGTGTGCTAAAACATAGTACTTATCTCCATATCAATATCACAATTGTATTTAAAGCTATGAAGTAAATTATTGATTCGTTCTATCAAGCTACAAATGAACATACTTGAAAACGATTCAGCAATTAACCACGGCATGATCAGTGTTCAATTGTCGCGAAATCATAAGTCCAAATGATTCGGAAAAAGCATGAAAATAACGATAAATACATAATATTTTTATTCAATCCTTACTTTAGGTAAATTGCTGCAATTCCGTAGATGTATTACGAAATGATTAGTTTCGATCTGCTTGAATTATAAACGATGACTCGATTCAAGTATATTAAAACATGTGCCATTATCACCTATGTGAAATTCTAAAATGATTGAACCAGGCTTTTCCTGGTGAAAATAAGTTTCTGATTTTTCTCGGTTGACTTCCACCCTGCAACCAGAAACAGTCACTCTTATGGCGTTTATAAAATTATGCACAAATAATCTATTCCTGACTTTTTAATTCATTTTCCTATAGCCCCCTCAAATTAGTTTAAGCACATCAAAGTTGCAAAATGTTGGGAAAATTTGGATAAAATTCAAGCTCTGCTATTCGTTAATTTTTTTATCTTCGATTATTTGAAGAATCGTAAAATTGCAATGCTTCTTTGGCCTAAATGTGACTTATTTTATAAACTTTTCGTCGATATAAAAAATTGGCAGTTATAATTAGAATTCTCGAGATTTGTAAATAAGATTTTATAACTAATTTTCTAAAATCCTAGTAATTCATTAAAAAAAAATTGATAATAAATGCATTTTTGTGAATATTTTATATGAAATTAAATGACAATAGTAGTTAGAATGAAATTAGCATTTTCAACAACTGACTTGATAGATAAAGTAAAATCTTGTTGACTTCTGTTGGATCTCACAAGAATTTTTTTTAAATATGTTGAGCATATTTCTATTTTTGTAGATCAATACATACATAGGGTAGAGCGCTTCTTCGTCGTAATCGCCCATTTCCGTTCTATCGATCAGAAAAGATCAATAATTTCAATGATGTCACCGTGCACAAATCAATAATAGGTTTGTTCCGATGCGTTTGTTCATAAGCTACAACATAAATCCTATTAGAGCACATTGTATGAATATTTACGCTCATTGTTCTCATACCAAAGGAAGCGCTCCAAGCGAATCCCCTTTTTCTACGTTTATCCGTAGGATGAAGAAAATCTAATGGCATTTCAATGCGTTTGGACGGAATTGAAACTCGTAGGACGAATTTAGAATCAAGAAACAGTATTAGCTTTTAAACAATATCTCACCGACTTGTGACTTTTTATCAAATCCAATCATACGTATGAAATGGTGAATAAATTTAGAAGTCATCTTTGACAGGAATGTTCCATTTTTTGTTCAACTCCGTTCAAAAAAGAGAGGTAAAACGCGGATTGTGCTTAGTAGAACGGAAATTAGATCAAAAACCCTAAATGGAGAGCCGTTAATTTTACACAAATTGTGTAATCTTTTAACATTCTTGAGGTTAAATCTGCCATTTATTGGGGCTACCCTGTTTAAAAAATTCGAGTTTTTTTTTCCTAATGATGGGGTACAATTTGACCATGCATTGCTAAAGGGTACACGATTCGAAAAACATTAAGAACCCGAGCTATAAAATATCAATCAAACTATAAACTTTACTAACAATATTTCCGATAAAGACAGCTTAATTGCTTACGTTAAGTTGTATCAAAGCGCATATCAATTCGGGGAAATTTACGTACAGTCCTCTCAGTAGTGTTCAAATAGGTACAAAAAATATGCAATAGTAAATAACTAACTAAGACACCATTTAATCATTGCATGCACTCGAGCCGAAAAGCAATTAGGGATCAAAAGCATATTTATCGCATCATCAAAAGGTGATGTAAAATCATTTGCAGATATCAGATATTGGACCAGACAAAGAGGCATCGTTTACTAACCTGCATCTCGTTCCGACAGAAGACCCGTAGTTTTGTAAATATCTTCACCCTTCCTACCGTAGATGGCTTCGCTTCGTGAGGGTGCAAGTTGGTTATTGTTAATCTGTTGCTCGAACATCGACGTTTTCTCTAAAACTGAACCGGTACATTTAAGGATATCTTTATCTGTGGTGGATTGGGATGGGTTGTTAGTGTTAGATTGTTTTGCTTGGTTATCATCGAAGTCACTCGTAGTTGACGACGATTTAGCCTTATTGCTATCATTATTACTTTCATTTCCGGCGACAGCCACGCTTTCTGGACTAGCGATTCCATCGATGATAGTCAAAGGAGGCCCACTTCCGTCACCGTTAGCTGTGTTCATACCACCACCATTTTCACCAACAATATTATCACTGGTTGTAGGAACAATCACCGAGCTACTACTGTAGATAGGCGTCTGTGGTGAACCAGCCTGAGGCGTATTTTGAGGTGTCTGAGTGCTACAGGCGGATACATCTGGTGAACTGATTGCGTTGGTGGCACTCGAATCTGGTGATATGAGCGACGATGCCGACGATAACACCGGCGAATTTGGCTGCTGAAGCGGTTGATACCCCATTTGTTGAGGTTGCATTGGAGTTTGCGCCGACGATTGGGGCTGGTTAGTTGCGTTTTGGTTATTATTGTTAGTATTCTTTGAGGCAGCCATCGATGCCAGTTCCGTCATATTGACGTAGGTGGGTTGTAGTTGTGGGTGTTCTGTAAAGTTGGTGAATCGTGTAGTGTACGGTTATTTATCGTCATAATGCACCGCAATCATTTAGTTATAAGTAGTTTTAGCAAAACTAAGTTAGATATATGGTAGTATGCTTACCTTTGGTAATATGGGCAGGAATCGGCGAAGGACACTGTCGTGGAACATTCGAATTGGAATTCTTTATGGAAGATGTCGATAATGGCCTCTCGAGTGACGAACATCGCTGTGGTAATGGAAGAAAACATTTAACTAATTATTCCGTTGCAAAGAAAGCAAGGAGGTTATTTAAAAAAAAATATCAGAAGTTCAGTAACTCTTTAGCGCAATAACTCTCCGATTTCATTAGGCCATAAAAGTGTCAAATTAATGAATAAAGCATTCTTTTCAAGCAGACACGCCATGATGAAGACAGCATCGTCAGTTTATGAATAATAAATACTCACAGTAACGCAAAAGTTATTGCCCAGGAGGCAAGTTTGTGCGCATATAAATCAATAAATCATAACCATTTGCTATGCATACGTGTATACTCACAACTGGAAGCGGTGGCCGACACAATATGTTAGCAGGAGATTTTTGGTTTTCCGATATCGTTTCTGGATTCTGGAACGTATAGACAGTTAATGCTGGCCGCTGGTGACCTTTCTCGTATGCTGACGATATTGTGTGCGGCCGGTCAGCGGAGCTCGTACCATCTTGCGTATGTGGTGGCCATGTAGAAACGGCATGAGATTGACTAGCGAGTGTGGACGCCTTAAAGTACAATTGAACAAAATAAACCATTAGTGAAAAGTTATACCAGCTCTAGCGTAACATGAGTAATGTAGAAAACAATTCTAAAAGCAAACTAGTCAAAAACTAAATTAACCTGCGAAGTTAAAGCTGGCGAAGAACAAAATCCGCTATCACTAGATTCACCTGGTTTCAAACGTATCGCCGGAGAGTACTATATAACGAAAGGTAAAAAATAAAAAAAATAAAAATAAATCAATCAACTAAACAAATAAAGCATTAAAAAGAACAAGTTTTAATAGAAAACGCACAATAAACTAGAAATTCATGCATCTAACTTATAGTTGCATTTCACAGCCGAGCCTGAACAAAACTGTAACAAATAATTACAAAACTAACTTAACGATTGCGTCTCACCTGAGATAGCGATCTTTGGAATTGATGTCCTGGAGAGCCACTACTGCTACTATTCATCGAACTAATCGAACATACGGAACTTTTACGAGATCCTAATGAGTTCGAGCAAGCTCCTTGGGAATTGGAACCACCCGGTGAGTCCGGGTAGAGATTGATATTTGTTTTCGATTCTAGGATTAACTCCTCAGATGCTTGAGGCAGAACTGCGGGATCTTTCGTGACTACCGCAATTATTTGCATTGCTTCCTAAAAATGTGTAAATGTAATGTTAGCAAGCACAACAACTGCTATAATGTTCTATAAACCTACTTGCAGGTGACTTAGTTCCGACATCACTTCACACTCTTCGTGTACCACAGGCTGTAGCATATTTACAAAGGTGCAGTAACGTGACCGCTCTTCGACCATGATGGAGCGGAGGGATTTCCGTTCAACCTCCTCGAGCTCGCATCGCCGCAACGTCACGTCCTGCATGGAAGACTCCACCAGAATGTGCAAATTATCGGTTTGACCCTTCTTGGCTTTCTTCTGTAATCGCAGCGTATCGCTGGAGCGCTTTTTCAACTCCGCCCGGCAGCGTTTGTATTCTTTGGCATGGTCTTTATCTATAATGGCTACCTGTTTCTTCCAGTCTTCCAGTTTCTCCTGCAACGGCACAATCAGACAGTCCATGATGGCAGCGGTGAAGGTTTTCATCCGCGTCTCGACTGCCTTGTGGCGCAAGCATACCCGTGTCAGTGCGGTACCAATCTCTTTGGTTGCACCTGAAAGTGAAAAGTGAAACGTTGTTTAGTAAATAACGCTGTTGTTGATGGTGTACTCTCGCACAAAAAAAACGACAAAATGTGATAACATAAGTCAATGGCTTTTGAACTTGTTGGTTGTGTTCATCAATTTAATTTGAGTTAAGATCTCTAGATTCGAGCAGTGCTCGTTTCTGCGGTAATCATGTAAAACATGTATTCTTGACGGGTCTGGAACATTTGGCATAATGACGTTTTATGTATTTGACATTTGACATAACGAACATTTGGCATAATCGCTCTGAATCGACGATTTTTGAAACTAGAAGTTTATTTACACTCCTTCTTTTAATTGCTACTCGTTTATTCGCAACTGGTATTACAGGTTGTTCTCGGAATAATGCTTCAATAGAAACAACAATGAAAGCTTGTCACGCAAGTACAAGGATCACTTTTGGGCGCTTCCTGAAATATTATAAAAGTACCTCAAACCCAAATCGTACGTCACGCGAAATTGAGGAAAAATTAGCAAATTAGCAGCAACATTTTTTCGTGTTTTTTTTTATGCCTTATATATTGATTGTCACGAAATTCTAAACCCCTTCCTTGCCTTAGAGTATGAGGATACCCTTTTATACAGTTTTTGGATTTTGGTTGTGTTTCTGATAAAATTTTATTTGTTTTCACCACTTGCCACAACAACTTTTTGACATACATTTGGGACGGTAAATTTTCAATACATTTTTAGGTCTTTAGAAGTACATGTACCACACATGGATGTGTTCTAGGATCCGAAGGGATCAGGGTTGTTAATGACGTTAACACCGTTAACGCAATGCAAATTCTAATTGGGGTTCTGTTCATTAGCAACCCTGCTTGGTATAGTAATCGAGGTTTTTTTATGTTTAATCATACTTAAGTTTTTCTAACGCGAAGGAAAGCTGGCGAATGTTTAAAGACCCGCAAGTGTCGTAATCTTCTTACCAGAACTTTATTCGAGTAATTTTATGAGAGCAATTTCTGTTCGACAAAAAAAAAATAACTTCAAACTATCACGATTGATGGGAAAATTTCTGGGAATCAATCACTACCACTGCAGCCTTCTTGAGAAGTTAAACAAATATAATGCATCTATCTTCCCCAAGACGTATGTAGGTACATTTCGTTGTCGTCCACAATGTGACGGATGTACAGAGGCTTTGAGCTATACCATCAATGGCCACGAGCAACGAACATGGTGAAAGTTCTTGCCCCTGTTTACATGCATATAATGCGCGGATACATTGTTATTAATAAATCATTGGAATCATGACTAACAGCGTCGTCACGATTATTATTAGTTTTGTGTTTCTATTACCCTGCAACAGACATGGACAATTATTATGGAGCAATCACCGACCGCACGGCGGGATCGGTGGACCATGATATGGGTGACGTGACGACGAAGGCTTCCCCCGTATCAGTTTCTGTCGTTGATTGCTGCCGACTTTAAATGAGCCCACCAACACATGAGCTCACTTGTGCCCTGTGTTTCAACAATGCCGCTCAAATTATAGTGGAATCGCCGCTACTTCACTGATAGCGATGTGATTATTTATGTTGTTTTGATTTACTTGGCCACAGTTAATCTTCTGCTCAATGAGACCTAACGAAACCGTTATTGAGTTGTATCGACGCATATATTAGGTTTGACATCATATGACAGGATACAATTTTTGCCTAATGCAACTAATGCAGTAGTTTCCAAACTTTATCGCCCGAAGGATAATTAAAAAATGAACATTAGTCATTCATGAAATCTTGGGAAAAAAGACATATTTACTACTACGTCCAATGTTTAAAGCTTAGTTAACTTATCGTATGTCATTTTGTGATCCCTACTCAATAACAACATTAATAAAATACATGAAAAACAATATTTTTTAGATGTCTTGTTGATGTACAAACTCAATAATTTGCTGTTTATTTTATCGTGATTGAACTCAATCCACAATAAATATAAAAAGAAATTAAAAATGCAAAATGAAAAATGCAAACTAGAGTTAAGCCTGCAGTGTCTGCTTAGGTATCTTTTTTTTTTCCTTTGGTTTGTTTTTTCCGTCGATCTTGTTTTCCGTGCTGAGCACCAATGCTACCGACGTGCCAGGAAGGCAGCTCCCACACCTGGACCCTACCTATCGACCCATCAACTCATGAACCGGGGACCAACGGCTTTACTTCCCATCCGAAGGAAGGCGTGATCAGAGATGTTATGCCTCAGAACATCCCGGCGGCGCCGACTGGGATTGAATCCAGGCCTGCTGGGGTGAGAGGTTATCACGCTTACCACTACACCACCGGCGCCGTTGTCTGCTTAGGTATGAGCCAGCCTTCAATTTGATGACCTATGAGCAATTCCAGACAAGGAATCGAAACACTTTTCAATGTAAATGTTTTCCATAGTAAATGTTTCCCATAGCCCTATCAAATTATATCCCGATTTCTCGGTGTTCCGGAGATATAACCAAAAAAAAAATTTTATTCCTACCTTCTTTATACGTCAAAAGGTATGTCTAACCTCTAGGTAGATTAATCTGTTTTTAAGGGTTCATTTTGTTTTGTGATGATTTTCGATAGAAAATGTATAATACTGCTAAAAAATTTCTTTGAGCAGTATTTATTTTTTTGGGCCCAGAGGACAATAATATCATATCTTAAAGGTTCTCGCGTAACATAGAGACTATCTCGCGTAAAAGAGCCTATCAAAGGGTAACTACCGTATCTGTCATGGATACCAAAATTAATTAAGTGGAATTAAATGGAAGATAACCTTTTTTGCTGTTGTATTTAGCATTCCGCTAACAACCCAATTTCATTACTTCATTATGATGGTTACCAAGCCTTTGGGGATTTTCCTTATTAGAGAGTTGTATAGATTTTTCTCCTTTAGCTTACTTAAATCTTTGGTTTTTATTAGTTAGGTAGGTTCCGATTCAACACATTGTAGTTTCATTTTTATACCTATGATCTTGACTTTTTTGCCTAGGGGATGAGTACTTAAGGGGGTTAGATTTTGATAAGTTCTTTAGTGGGAATGACACTGATGAAGACTGCACATTGTAGTCGAAATACGTATCTGTCATGGATACCAACATTAATTAAGTGGAATTAAATGGAGGACATTTCAATTGCCAAACCATGCATTCCTTTTTTTGAATTGATCGTTATTTACCCTAAAAAAAAATCGTGAAAATGACCTATTTTTCATGCCGCCTGAGTGGACTACCCCCTTAAGGGAATATCGATAGTAATTCCATTGAAAAAGCTCACACAATTTGTTTGCAGAATTTCAACTAAATATGAAGATAATTTTAAGGGAATTCTTTAAAAAAATCATTCAGAGGGAATTTTAATCAATTGGCGAGAAAGCTCCAGAAAGAAAAAAAAATCACAGGGAATTTTGAGCATATTTCCAAATGTCCTTGCAATTTTTTTTAAATTTAAGAAGATCTGCAAGAAATTTACAAATTAAATTCTATGAAAGGTTCAAGAGTTTTCTAAAGAGAATTTCAAGAAAACCCGAAAAGATTCTCTCAAGAGCATTTGAGTAGAATATCAACAGAATTCCAAAGAAAACTCTCGTGGAATTCCGAGGTGAAATAAATAGAAAATTCAGGAGAATACTTTTTTTTTTGAGGAATATACCAAGACTATTTAAAAAATAAATATGGAGATAATCATTAAGAATAAGAAGATAAATGTACTATAATCCAGAGTTCCGTGACAATTATGGAGCGAATCATAACATCATTGTGAGGAATGCAGAAAATAACTCTGAAAACATTTTGGGTGATTCTAGTAAAAATCATAAGTCAATTTTAAAGATATCCTGTAAAGGGATTCATAAAATTATCTAGTTAATTCAGTCACTGAAAGCTTTTTAAGATGCAGGAGACATAAATTCAAGATCATGCATGTAGAAAATAGACTAACCGTTATGTACGTGACGGGGTACCCGGATCTTGTTTGGCTATTACGGTGTAGAAAAAAGCGTAGAATTCCTCACACGCATAAGGGCTAATGATTCTGGTAATTCGAAAAGTTTTTGAGATGTCATGCGTACAATAAAATTTCAAGATCCCAGTCAGTTTCTCCGAACTAAATTCGGTTTATAAAGGTTAGTTAGTTTTCTTTATTAAAGAGACTTTCAGTTTTTGACTGATTCGCCTTGGTCTATAAAAGGTATAAAACACATATTTTATAATTACAATCTAATTCCTGGTTCTCCCGATGCAGTGGCCAGCCTGGATACTGCAGGTAAATCTTAATGATTTAGGACAAATTTTCAGTACTTACCAAAAATTACAAAATGTTGACGGCCCAAACAAAATTTTAAAAATTTTCCAGGAGGAAGGGGGTCCAAAATGTCTCATAAAGTGTCTACGTAGTTTATGAGCAGCCTTGATTAACATGTTTGTGTTAGTTAGGAGCTCGATGTTTTTGATAAATTTTTGGTAAGTACATTCTTTTAGTATCTTGTATGTTTCATGTTTTATAACCCATTTAAAAAAAAAAACATCAATATATCACACATAGATTTGAATTTTTTTTTCTATGTATGTATGCTATGCATGTTTTAACGTTATTTGAGGTTACTCATAAGCAGTGACGTCGCGCAACCTCACTTTTTACCTGTTCAACAACTTTGAAAACGTTATTTAGGGTCATGTTTACATTCAAATCAGTTTCAAAAGGCATCGGGTCTTCTAGTTTCACTGATGTTTATCCATTGGAACCAATATTGTTTTGTTTGTTTACGTTTTGAGAGTTGTTGAACAGGTAGATTGAGGTTAGGGCGACGCCACTGCTCATAAGTATCGCATAAAAGTGCTGATATCAGTAAAATGTCGAATCAATAGTATATTAAGTATTGATAACCACTGATATCAGTACTATTGCATCGCTTTTACACCAAATTAATACTGACTCTAAACCAATGTCACTACCCTAGAAAACAGTAGCCTAAAAATGATCAGTC